CATCATCTTTAAAGCGCTCCATGGCATCGGACCCGGATATCTTCGAGACCGCCTCCTGCCGCAGATTACCCCCCATCGACCTGTACGCTCCCACAGAGTGGGTCTCCTCAGGGTGCCGTCAGCCAGACAGTGCCGGCTGGCGACCCCAAGGGGGAGGGCCTTCTCTGTGGGAGCTCCCACCCTCTGGAATGAACTGCCCTCAGAGATCAGGGTGATCCCTGATCTCCCTTCCTTCCGCCGCGTCCTTAAGACATGGTTGTTCCAGCTTGCGGGACTGGCCTAGGGGAAACTTTTAGAGGGGGTTTTAATTATAATTTTAATTTTAATTAGACCAAATTACTAATATTTCCCTTTTAATTAATTTTTAAACTTGTACTGTGTTATTTTTGTATTTTTATCCGGTTGTTAGCCGCCCTGAGTCCGTAAGGAGAAGGGCGGGATATAAATTTAAAAAATAAATAAATAAATAAATAAATAAATCTTAAACAATGCAGCAAGTAGCTAATGTTGTTTAATGAATGAATAAAAAATAGATCAATACCACTTTTACTCGACTACTTCTAAGAGATATTTTGAAATGGATGTTCACTAACTGAAAGAAATTCATTATAATACATGTTTAAAGTTAAAGCAGACTGACAAAATGAACCTCTTTTTAGTCATTGAATGGAAATCAATTACTGATTTTCTGTATTCAAATACTCATAAATGAATAAATTTAAATGTGTGTAAGGTACATAAGATTATTCTAAGAATATAAAAGCAAAAAAAGGTGGAAGGTAAAGAAAGGACATATTTATCTACAGAGGCCCTTAGTCTGTGTTCCTTTTAGATAAAAAAAATAAAAATAAAAAGATAAAAAATAAATTTACTGGTTGCAGTAGAGATTAGGAGAGAATGAATAACAGAGACTTTGGAATCAGAGCTCAAGTTGCAATTTGTTTTTGGCTTAGTGTGAAGTATGAACCAGTGCCTTATACTTTAACTGACACTTCCAGAGGATAACCCAGAAGTAAAAAGCTTAGTTTTTCACCTGGCAGTTATTTCAGACAGCCATCATTCCTAATTCTTGTTCTCATCAGCTGATAGCTAGTTTATTTTTCAATAATTTCCAAAAATGCTCTCTGCCTCAGTCTGATGGAAGAGCATCATGCATTAGTAGCTGTTGCTGCAGGTCTTGAAAGACTTTTGAATTGCCATGTATCAACTCTAAGAGAAGGAGGCACCATCTGACTCCAAAATGATTCTGGATGGCTCACAATACAAAACAAACAATATAAAAACTAGACAAGACTGTATAAGTAAACAAAATAACACCCACCAAGACAATGGAATATGTATATGAATACAGGTAACAGTGCGGGGGGGAGGGGAGCATAGCCATCCTAGCCCAAGGCCAGGGAGAACAGCCAGGTTTGCAAGGCCTTCTGGAATGACAAGAGACAAACAAGATTATTTGAGTACACCACCCAGAGCCATTTTGCTTGATTGGGTGGCTTTTTAAATCTGAGAAGGAGAAAGAAGAGAAACTTGATTGTGCACCAAACAAATTAGCAAAGTCAGAGACTTGTGGGTAAATTGGGGACAGGATGGTATGCAATGTCCCATGGTCTTTAAACACTAATTTCCATACCTTGTTGGAACACGGTGACTAAAATCCTACTGAACAAACAGAAGCTATAATAATAATAATGATGATGATAAAGTTGGAAGGGACCTTGGAGGTCATCTAGTCCAACCCCCTGCTCAGGCAGGAAACCCTATACCATTTCGGACAAATGGGTGTCCAGTTTCTTCTTAAAAACTTCCAGTGTTGGAGCATTCACCACTTCTGGAGGCAGGTTGTTCCACTGGTTAATTGTTCTAACTGTCAGGAAGTTTCTCCTTAGTTCTAGGTTACTTCTCTCCTTGATTAGTTTCCATCCGTTGCTTCTTGTCCTGCCCTCAGGTGCCTTGGAGAATAACTTGACTCCCTCTTCTTTGTGGCAGCCCCTGAAATATTGGAACACTGCTATCATGTCCCCCCTCATCCTTCTCTTCGTTAAACTAGACATACCCAATTCCAGCAACCGTTCCTTATAGTATGTTTTAGTCTCCAGTCCCCTAATCATCTTTGTTGCTCTTCTCTGTACTCTTTCTAGAGTCTCAACGTCTTTTTTACATCGTGGTGACCAAAACTGGATGCAGTATTCCAAGTGTGGCCTTACCAAGGCATTGTAAAGTGGTAATATAATTTGCTTCTCAACAGGACAAAAATTCTGAGTACAGGGTAAATGCATATTGCATGAAAATGTAGAATTAATGCATACAGGGATGGTGTGCATACATACATTACCTATAGAATACAGCTGGCAATTAGCCATACACTTAAAAATAAAGAACCCAACCATACTGATGCAGGTAAATCTTCTACCAGATAGTAAACGTAGAATATAAAAATTGTTTAATGCATTAAACAGTGCGTGTACAAGGATTAAGTGTCTAATTCAAGAGAAGGCTTCTAAAAATATCAACATTTATAAACTCTACAGATGGAAAATTCAGGGTTTGGTTACTATTTGAACAAGCAGCAAAAAGCATTTTGATGATTTTCTGTGTGTACATATGGGGTTTTGCTACCAATTGAAATGACACGGAGAAATAAATCCAAGATGAAAATGCTTCCTTGTGCAACTGGCTATACGAAATGGGGAACCTGGAATTTTTATTCATGTTTCTTGAACAAAAGTTATCAGAATTAAGCTACAGAAGAAAAGGCAAACTAAAATGATACATCTTTACGAGCTAAATTGAAATTTCACTTCAAAGAATTGTTTTTCATACTTTCCAAATGAAAGTTCTGCAGAAAGTAATCCCCTTTTCCCCTTTTTAGGCCTTCCTGGCATTTTTTCCGCTTTCTGTTAAGCATTCAAGGCAGACTTTGATCAGCTTTTAATCGGGTTGTAAGAAGCCTATTCTACATATCACTCTTATTACTTTAAGATGTTACTTAAGCTTGCGGCAGTTTTTGTTGTTGTTTTAATTGGATAAGCTTTTTTCCCCCCTTTGTATCTTGTCAAAACCCATAGAGGCAGACTTTCTCCATCTGTTCAGCTCTGTTCTGAGATAAGTAAGATAACATGATGATGTGCTTCGTTTTGCAAACTGAAATTTTCTCATGAGTTCCGGCCCCCTTTTTTCCTTTCCATTCTTTTTCCATTCTTATAGATTTTAGAATGTTTTCACCTGTACACATTAACACACAATTCTTTCATTTTACGTAACATTGCTTCTTGGTTCAGGAGAGTGCATGCCAAGAAATCAAATAGTTTCTAAATATATCAGTACAGCTGTATTTTAACAATCTTTATCAAGTCCACAGACGGTCATTACAATATATAATTATCGAGAATAGAGCCAGTAATATTTAATTTCGTGAAATGTGGTTCACATCTGGAATTATTGCTTTATCAAACACTCAGTTTACAGTTTACAAGCAATTCCCACTTTTTAAAACTACTCCATTTCTTTCTCATCATCTGTTCCCCTGCTGCAATCCTTTCAGTAGGAGTCTTATAAAACAGAGTTCTGTATGTTTCATGTGAGCCTTCCATAAGACAATGATTAGTAAAATGGTTTCCCAGGCATTTTTGATATTATTTTGCTTTTTACCCCAGGTACAGGTAGGTACTCCTCGACTTTCAGCCATTTGTTCAAAGTGACTTATGTTTGTTTTTCACACATAAAGAGCGTTGCAGCATCCCCGTGATCAGGTGATCAAAATTCAGGCCCTTAGCAACAACTGGTCTGTTTTTAGGATGGCTGCCGTGTACCGTGGTCACATGATCACCTTTTGAGAGCTTCTGACAAGCAAAGTCAATGAGGGAAGACAGATTCGCTTAACAACTGGGTTACTAACTGAGGAACTGCAGTAATTCACTTAACATCTGTGGCAGGAAAGATTGTAAAATGGGGCAAAACTCACAACAACTGTCATGCTTAGCAACAGAAATCTTGGGCTCAATTGCAATCGTAAGTCGAGGACTACCTGTATGTATCTTCTCATGGATAGAACAGTTGATCTAGGAAGAGAAAACTCTCAAATGTGCCCCATGGGAAATGGTTCCAGAAGAGAGCAAGTAGAGAATGAAGGCTTTGCAGAAAGGGCATTTTAAGGAAGATCAAGGGAAACTATGGTTTCAGGGGGAATCTTCATAGAAAACTAGGAGGCCATAAAATAATTGCCTCAGTTAATTTACGCCATAAATTCTGCTCCTTCTGCCTTGCTTCTTTTTCAGCTGTTTTGTTTGCTTAAAGCACAATAATATCTTGTCAAGTAATATTGTAATACTCTGACAGTGTTGTAACCTGGTTTTTTTCTGCAAGCTCTGGGAAGGGATCTAATGTAAGTTAAATGACTTGCATTTGGATATTTTTACTCTTAGTGGTCTTAGATTCTTTCTTAATAACTTTTTCGTTACTAGTTCTCACTGTGGCTTTTTATTTTACTATTCTATTTTTGAACTTTAGCCCTTTTATTACCAGAAGGGTATATAAAATGCTCTGCATATAAGTCCCAATAAGAGAACAAAACATCAGGGATATTCCTGTATATAACTATTTTGGGGGGGCAGAAGGATTTGCTTCTAGCCTCTCTTGACTCCTGGTGACTGCTACGATGAATCGCAGCAGTTTTCTTGACAAGTTTTATTTTCCCAGAAGTGGTTTACCATTGCCTCTTTCCTAGGGCTGAGAGAGTGACTGGCCTAAAGTCACCTGGCTGGCTTCATGCCTAAAGTGGGACTAGAGCAGTCTCCTAAAGTCTAGCCTGGTGCCTTGACCACCACCCCAAATTGGCTCTTACATGTCATTTACAACAGGAAATATTTTGCACACTGAGGAGAGAGGAAATTAGGCTCATATACCCAAACATACAACATCCAGCAGTGCAGGGACAAGGTGAAGGTGTTTCTGGATTTTGTGCTGTATTAAAAATCAAAAATACAAAATTTTCAACAGTAGCTACAAAATCTTTATGTGTACGTTTTTTTTGCACGTGTATGTTCTATACATTGAAGACTAAATCTGTGCGCTTTCTCCACCACATTCCATGTCCAAAACTATCTTAGTTATGAATTAAACAGTAAGACAGGAAAAAGAAAATGTTCCCTTTCATAGTCCATAATAAGAAACAATAGCACTGAAGGCTGAATAATATAATATAAAGCCTTGTAAACACTTTTTTTTTATTTTGTTTTTTTTGTCACTTTTCACTGTTCTCCTAAATCCAGGATCATATTGTCAATCATACTAATATGATAACTGCCTTCATAATTCCATAGTTGTTTAGTTTAGTTTTAGTTTAGTTTTATTAAATTTATACCCCGCCCTTCTCCTGGAGAATTGTTGATTTTAGTGATGGTTATATAACTGTGTGTATATATATAGTGTGTGTGTGTATGTGTTGGTGTAGGTATGCATATTAGAAAATAGCAAACAGGAACAAGTGTTTAATTGAGGCCAGAACCAGTTAGAGATTACAACTATGTATTGGATAAAGGACCTGCCAAAATTCAGAACCCAAAGCTAAGTTGGAACAATTAAACATTAGTCATATGCATGGACAAAGTGTTGTATAGCAATATAGGTTCATGGTATATTTGATAATATTGTTTGATATTTTGTTGTAAAACTTCAATTTATTTGGAGATGTTATTATCTGAATGATATTAATGTTTACATTTATCAGGTTGCAAATTTAGATTTCCAGTGCTAATACATCAGGCTTATTAGGGTATCTGCTAAATCAGACAGGTGTTTCAGAAGTTTCTGTTACGTTGGTCTTCTTTTTTTTAGCCTGTGGTGTAGAACTAACATTATACCCCATTCTTTAGCAAATACTTCTAGTTATCAAATGCTTTTATAATATACAACTTCAGTTGTTGCCTGTCTCAGCTTCAGTTTGATCAGAAATCATCCTCTTTTAAGACACTTGAAGAATCAGGGTGATAGTTTTTCCTCACTCACCTTGACTGTATGCTTGATTTTTATTTTTGTTGGGTGAACCTAGACATTGCTATTTATAAATCGGGGTTTATGTCTTGTAGTTAACTGTGCTTTCCCTAATAAATATTAAACAAACCTTGGTTCACCACAAAGTGCAAAGCAAGCAATAGCTGCTATAGGTTACTACACCACACCATCGTCTGGTAAACAATCTTCTGCATTTGACCCTGGTCAAATATCATTAGAATGTTGTACTTAGTTAATAGCTAAACTAAAATCTATCCTTTTGGCAATGTCAAGTACTTAGTTGTTATTTGTAACAGATTGTTTAAAGGGCCCCACAGCAATGTCAGATTTATTTCTGTTTTGTGCTTGTTGTAATACCTGTCCCAGGTACCTCAAGATGAATGGGGAGGTTACCCTGCTGGTAAAGATGAGGAGATTCCCTGCAGAAGGATGAGAAGTGGAAGTTATATTAAAGCCATGGGAGATGAGGAAAGTGGAGATTCTGACACTAGTCCCAAAACATCACCAAAGGTAGCAGTCCATCCGGAATCATTGTTAAAATCTATTGGACAAAGAGCCCTTGGTGACCTCCAGAAGTAAGCCTCGCAAAGCTTTTTCCTATTTTATTTTTGTGGGTTTCATTTCTTTCTACTATTTCTTCATCTTCTACTTCAGCTGATAATGTTCTAAAAATAATATTGGTTGGATATACACTTTCTCAGATTAAGCTGATGCTTTTTATTTCTGGCGGGAAAATGATTTCTTACTCTATAACAACTGGCCATTGTGTTTCTAAGGCACAGGATGAATGTCTAGCCAGTATTCAAAGTATAAAATGTTGGTCAGTTATTGTGGAGTACTTTAAAAAATGCAAAGTAATGAAGGCATAGTCATTTGACCATGTTAACATGCCATCCACCATTCCTTGAGTTGGCAGAAAAGTGTGCCAGCGTTACTGCCAAACCCTATTCTATCTCAGTAATGAGGCCAAGGAGTAGTGCTGTCCATACTGTTTTAATGCAGAACAAGTTACAGAAAGTGAGTAATGGCTTCCCTATCTTGTTCCTCTCCACTAATCATTCTTCTTAATGGGGTATAAAGTGTGGATGGGTGCTTAGTGTTTAGTCACCTTTCAGTTGCCTAATTATTGGTTGCAACCATAGAGACACTCCTTGCTTGGGTCCCATCAGTTGGGAATTTTCTGAAAAAAATGCCTACTATTTTTCAGGTGTCCAAAAATAAATTGGCTGACAGCACATAAGGCCGGAAGAGGGGTCAAGTGTGAAATAGTAGAGAGCTATCAGTAATGAGCTAAGAGTCCTGAGAGACAGAATCTTTCACATCAAGATTCTATGCACCAGTGTATCTAATCATAGATATGGGGTTCACAAGGAATCTTTTGTTGCTTTGAAACCCCATGTCACCATCAGCTTCTTGCTTATCTAACAGAGAATAGTCATTTGACAAGGAGAGTTTTAATCCTCTTCCAAGGCCCTGACCAAACATCCCATCTTCATTTTAGTGTAGAGTCAGAATATTTATTCTGTAAAACTTTTGAAAGTTAGATGAAGCAACAAACCAAATTAAGTTAGTCAACCGTTGCAGAGAATGCAAGTGAAGGAAATCCTCCCTTTGCTATCAGGGTTTCCTTGACTAGGAGAAGGGAAAATACACAATCTTAACAGGCTTCTTAAGCCTTCATTGTTTTTCTACTTCAGTTGAAAGGCGAAATACACATGGTATATTATTACAAGGCTAAAGGGAGAGATGGCTCTACAGTTACAATTTATTTTTCTCTCCAAGTTAATCGAACCTCTTAAATGGAAGACAAATGTGGTCTGACCTGTAGTGTGCAGACCGATACAACTTTGTGTCTTTTAAGAAGTAATAATCAAAAAGTGTATTTACAAGTCCAGCCCTCCCACAGATAAGCTTGCCAAATACTTGGAGATTCTTTTAGCTTTACCTTGGAAAAGTTCTTTCATTTCTTAGCTGCTCATTGGGGTATACCGTCAAAGGGTTTCTGATCTCTGCCTTTCAAAGTAGTCCAGGAAGTCCCAATCATGCACTCTATTTCTGTATCATTTGTGACATTTAAAAACCATAGACTTTACTGAAGAAAGAGGCTTTTCATTGTTCAAGGACCTTTTATAAGAAGCTAGGATGAACGGAAGGTATTCATGCATCCACTGAAATCAGTTTCTGAGGCATTTTTTAAATGAATATTAGACAAACTAGCCAATGCTGGTAGTCTGTTAACGAGGAAAAATCTGTCTGTTTCGAGAAGATAAATTGTGTTGTTCCTTAAAATGGATTGAACATCCAATACAGGGTCATCAACAAAAACAATAATTACCAATTTGAAAATTGTCAGTCAATTTACCACAAATAAGTCAGATATTCATGTAACAATAGCATAAAGGAAGTTCAGTTAACTGCAGTGAAGAAGTGGATTGCAGGTTTGCAGTTTTAAGCTTTACAAAAGTCAAAATATTAATAGGAAAAAGTGTCTGAATTCAAGTAATATCCCATGTGAGGCATTTTGAGAATTACATTACCTAGCACAACAAGCAAGTTATCTAGTCTAAGTTATCTAGTAGTCTAAGAAATCAGATTACTGCTACATTAAAATGTTATGTTGTCTCAAAAGTACCAGGCTTTGCTACATTGCTTCTGAAACTGTATTCTGGAATCAAGTTTTTGCTTGATCAAGTCTTTTACATGTGTGTAAAACTCCACAGAAATGTAGGACAAGCTGTAAATCTGCTGTGATCCTGAGCTGGTGGCAGACAAGTGGTTTAGGAGCTCTGTCTGTTACTTCCAGTCCTCGAATTTAGCCTTTAGCCTTATTTTCTTTTCTTTTTTAATGAAAAGGAACTTTAGGGAGTTGACCAGGTAATTGGTGAAGGAGCATTAAACACAGGAGAAAGGATGAAAGAAATGAGGCCCTCAACCATTTGTTTTCAGAAGGTGGGAATTATCGGCCACCCTTTATAAATAACATTACATTTTTCGATGATGAAGAAATCTGAATTCAATTATCAAGCATCACTTGCCCACCTGTTGCCTGCATAATCTCTAAGGCAGCTGGCTGGGAAAGTCAAGAATAGCACATTTATATGCATCCCTCAGTATAAATTGATCATCTGCTCAGTTGCCATCAGCCATGTTCTCCAGAATGGAAGTTAATGAAGTCTCCTACTGCCTTGATCCTAGGTTAGTCTTCTTTTCCAGCGTTTCAGTTCCTCCACTTCATCTGTGCAGTACTTTCACAAAGTCTTTCCAGTGCCACAAATGCTTTTTATTGGCCAAAACAGTTGTGACAAAAGTAATCCTTGTAATAAGTGCATTAAAAAAGGTCTTTCAGGAAAGAGTATCACGGAGAAGACCTGTTACAAGACAAAAAGGCAGCCCCTTCATGAACTATGTTGTGGCAAACTTACAGTAGATTACTTTTATGTTCCAAATTATTATTTTTTTCCAAAGGCCTTGGGGAATAAAATTGGTACAGAATATATTAATCAATATCTCCTTCTCTACAAAACAAAACAAAACAAAACACAGTTGCTTAATTTTTCAACAATATTAATTAATTAATATTAATTAATAGGTTCATCAAAGACAAAATTTAAATGTACTCTTTTAACCGAGTCTCAAAGTATTCAGTTGTTTGCATGCCTCCCTGTTAAAGTTTCATTGATTTTAAGAAAAATAAGTGATACATCTGTGTTTATCTAATGGTTCATTTTATTGGGCTCAAAATCTGACCGACCATATTAGCCCAAAATTAGAGGGGCATGATTTGCTAAAGTTTGGAATGCTTATAAATTATTTGCAAAGAAAAGGAAATTATAAATAAAATGATGCTCAAAGTGTATAAATATCTCCAGATAAAAAGTGTTATTATCCATCTTTTAAGTTAGCTGCTTCGTTTATGAATCTTGTAGTATAATTTCTCCAGAAAATATTCAGGTCCTTTCAAGTTCACTTTATTGTATCTGAAGTATTTTTTCTACATTGGCCTACAGCTTTATTTCTTTTTCTGATATTTTTAATGGGCACTTAGTGACCAGCCACTGTTAGAAATCATAGCCAAGATGCTGAACATTCATTTATGCTTGGCATGTTGCTTTAGTTTTGACATGCTCCAAGAAATTCACTGAAATTGCATAAAGTTAGCCAGAAGTCCCCAGTTCTTCCAACAAAAATGTTTTCGCCTCACTATCAAACTTAGGAGGCTTTAAGGGGAATTCAGGTTGCAAGACTTCAGATGATCACAAGAGGGCATTGAATAACTAGGATTTTCTATAGCTCTTTGCTGCCAGCTATTGTTAATCCCAGTATTTACAATTCAGGTCTAGGTGGCCTAGTAAAATAGCAACTTGAACAAACATCTTCATAGCTTAGATGCTCTGAATGATCATTTGTAAAATGGGGAATGTGGTAACTTTCATTCTGATGGGAAACATCTTGCTGAAACCACTTAATTTGAATCTGCTTTGCAGCGTTCTGGTTGCAATTCATAATAGCAGTTACAATGCCTCATAATTCTCAGTACTATATTTGGCTTTCAAATTTTAAAGACCAACCGCCTCTCTGAAACTGGTCAAGTCTGTTCTCTTGAGATTATATTATTGATTTTTCCATCCACAGAGGAAAAGGCTATGCAGAGAAGTATTCTCAGCCACTGCTTTGCAGCTGTGGATTTGCCTTCCAAACTATGTCTTGTTGTGCTCTTATCTTTCACTAGAAAAGGCCAGACTGATAGTAAATGAAGAAAGAACCAAACATTAATGGCATTTGCTGATCATATAGTTCTTTCTTTCTATATGACAGTCTCTTTGATCTTTCTAATATCTGTATGGGTGCATGCATGTGCCATAGAGAGAAAGAAGCAATCCTAAAGTTTTTCATTGAGATCTGAAGAATCAGGTGATGCTAAGGACTGCATGGAATTAGGTCTCCATTCTAGAACAAGGGTTAGTAAAGGCCAAAATGGACCCAACGGTGGTAGAAGCACCCAGGGCTATGACTCCTAAGCTGGGTGAGGAGTTATCTGTCCATAAGAGTGCAGTGCTAGGAACAGCTAAGATATTGCACAAAACCTTCAAACTCCCAGGCCTCCCTCTAGTAGAGGACCCGAGATTGAGGGAGATGTATACCAAGAAGGGATTTTGTTTGGGGAGGTTTTTTTTAATGATGGTTCATACATAACAGATACCTCATATATAGTTCATAAAGTACAGAACACCTGAAGAGTTAAAGATCACCTTCCTCTCAGCTCCTTACATTTCCTTTATTTTGACCAGTTTGAAAATCTAAGCTTCTTGCCTTGTTAATAAATTTTTCTAACAGAAATTTTCACCATCAGCAATCTAAGAAGAGAACTGGAAACTATAGAAATAAGAAAACAAAACAGGGTAAAATCATTATTTTAACCGAAGCTATTCTATCAAGCAAAGATAACTTTAATCTTTGACATTTAATGACTTTTTTTCCTTGCCTCATGAGAGGGTTGTAATTCCTACATACTAATTGGCTCCCTTCTTTTATCATATAATACCCAGGTATTTAAATGAAGATTATTTGAGCTGTA